TGTGTGTGTGTGTGTGTGTGTGTGTGTGTGTGTGTGTGTGTGAGCGCGCACGCGCATGTGTGTATACTAGGCATACACATCCACAGGCACATTGCAGAGACAGGAGGAGCACATTTGGTGTCTCCTTCTGTCTCTCTCTGCTTTATTCCCTTGAGAGACGGTCTCTCACCGAACCTGGATCTAGGCTGATGACCACACGCACCATCGTTGTTCCTGTCTCCACACACAGTGCTGGGGTTCCAGGTGTGAATGGCCACCCTGGCTTTTTATGTGGGTGCTGAGATTTAGACTCAGACCGCTCTGCTTGTGCAGCAAGCAGTCTTCTCCATGAAGCTACCTCCCCGGCCCCTGTCCTGTACTGCCTTTTGGATGAAGTACTATCCGTGTTTTGGCTCTGAACCATTTGGAATTATGTGTGTAGCTACAAGTTGAATGAGCTGTTTATCAAGGCTTGAGGCTTTCCTTATTTTTCTGATTTATCTCTTCTTTTCTCATGTGTAATAAGATCATGTTCATGCATTGCCTACAGTCAGACAATCACAGTCAAGACAAAAGTCAAGATGGCTCTGAAAGATGGCAAAGCTGTGAGCTTTGGCTGGAGTCAATCAGTGTGTCTGAAATAACCCTGATGGTGAATGAAGCTTAACCGAAAGAAAAATACACTGTTTTTATCTTCTTTAGACTCCACAAAGACTTCCTAACACTCTCACATAGTGCTCATGAAAAGTCATGACAAGTAAGCACAGAAAACATTTTCTCATCTTTACAGAAGAGAAAACTTGGGGCCAGAGAAGTCAAATAATGTCCCTGCGCTTCACAGCATGTACTAATGGTACTGATGTGATTAAAACCCAGGTCCGTATCCAGTGTAGCTGTACCACAGTGCAGCCATATTAAATGACACAATAATAGACTTGGAAATCAGATTCAGTTCGATTCATGATTGGGCAAAGAAATAGGAGATTGAATTTTCAAATCTCTGATAACTTTTGCTTTGGGGTTTGGCCTGGGATGTTTTCAGAATTTAGTACAGTGGCTACAAATGAACTTTAAAAAATTAAAGCAGTTATGTTAGTTGGCTTCTTAAAAATCAGAAAATCAAATTGTGTTGTTTTAAGAAAGAAAAATAGAATCTATACCTCATAGAGAAAGGAAGATTAAAAAGCCACACATTTCTCAAAGTTTCTCTGTCCTGTGACTTTCTGAATATCTCAAAAGCAAATCCCTCTAAGAAAGAAAAACACATGTGAAATCTCTGCAGAGAATAAGAGGGATGAAGGACCATCAGACTTAGGGTGTTACAGAACATATCACAGTGTGTGGTAACAGTGCCCAAGGAAGCAGGTGTGTGAAGGCTGATGAGAAGTATCCTGAGGTGACTTCAACCAACATTGTTTTAGTGATCTCAGTGCCAGGAGTGAAATAAAAGGGTGTCAGGTTCAGGAGCAGGACAATTTATTGTTTACTTTGGAAAGAAGGATCGAGAGAGAGAGAGAGAGAGAGAGAGAGAGAGAGAGAGAGAGAGAGAGAGAGAGAGAACACAGTCTGTTGAGTGGGATAGTGATGTCCTTTAAGGAAGCCAGGAAGAAAGTCTATTCCGCTGCATTTAGAGATGAAGTGATCACTTGAGATAGCACAGCCTCCTAATCAAAGACAGATAGCAGTGTACCTATCAAGCACAGGAGATGTGGAACAAGCTAGGGCGTGGCCATGGCAAAGCCAGCTGGGAAGCAGAATGGAGTCCAGGAGAAGCCAGACTGAATCCAGCACCTGCCTGGAATTCCTATCCGAAGCTGGAGAGAAATTCCTCCACAGGGCTGGGGAGGAGGCAAAATGCTTGCTTTCCAAGTAGGAGAACCTGAGTTTAGACTCCCAGGACTCTCATAAAAAGCCAGAGAGCAGTGTGTGTGTGTGTGTGTGTGTGTGTGTGTGTGTGTGTGTGTGTGTGTGTGTGTGTCTGTCTGTCT